ATTTGTGTGAGATTGTCTTTACAAGGTAATGGAATACTTTAAGATTTGACTTATTTGTGTGAGTATTTTTTTACAAGGTAATTGAATACTTTAAGATTTGACTTCTTTGTGTTAGACTGTCTTTACAAGGTAATGGAATACTTTAAGATTTGACTTCTTTGTGTTAGACTGTCTTTACAAGGTAATGGAATACTTTAAGATTTGACTTATTTATGTGAGATTGTCTTTAAAACGTGCCAATATTTCTACAGATCCTCCAATTTTTACGGTGAAGCCCAGACAGCAGTACCAGCGACGTGTTAACAGTCAGGTGACTATGCCTTGTTATGGTATAGGACAACCGAAACCTGTAATAAAATGGAGGAGGGTGAGTGGTCAGAGTTACCCTATTTTCTTCCGTTACATTTATTAGATAAACTATGTTCAAGAAGGAGTTATTAACAGACTAACAGAATTACTCAGTTTATATAACATTAAACTGCGATGTAAGGCTAAAGTTTCTAGTATTCTCCGTTAATTCTTGGTTTTAGTTCTTCTGGATTCTCTATTAACGAGCACATTAAATAGAATGTTCTTTTTTTAGAGTCTGGAAGTTTTGTGGGTTTAACTCAATTATCACTTAATACCAAACTTAGCATTACTCTTTCAGAAATATGTATGGATTGATAAATCTCCCAAATCACTAAATAAATCGTTTAATTTGGATATAATCATAACGTGATGATCTATCGTATAAAACAATAACAATATAACCAAATTTCCTGTTCAACTTCATTGACATCATGCACATAGTTTCAACTTTCTCCTAAATTCCAAAGATAGGATCATTCACTTGATACTAACGTGATGGTATCATCTTACCTAGCCGTGGGCCACGTGGTCAAAATAAATTGGATCTCTCTGTAAGAGGGTGCTCTACTGATGACAGTCAGCCTTATAGGTAATTAGAGTTTCAAGCCATGGAGAATACAACTGTAATCTGCCACTAGGACGTTAGCTTCACTTGATGATTTCTTAACATATTAAATCTGTTCCAGCATATAGTCTGATAGATATTCCTCTTAATTCAGAGATTTTGCATACCTTCCAAAATCTTTCTTTAGTGAAAAAGTGTTCCATAAGACTTCTTTAGCCTTTGACACTTGAAATATTGGTGTATTTCACTTTAAAAAAGGTTGCGTTGAACACCATTTGCTTTCTGTCCTATTTTTATAATAATTTATAGCATGGCAAAGAATTTCGAATTTCCCGACCTTAGTGTTAATAACGGTGATTTAGCTGTTGTCTTTTGATAGTGCAAAGTCATATTTAATGTAATAAAAAGTTATCTTTATTGTTTATATGATAGATACAGGTACGTTTTTTAAGTATTTCAAACAGCCTTTCTTATCTTCCTAAACTTATGGTTTTCCGTGACTTGCAGAAAACGAGATATTCTGAAGATGTATACATTTTTTGATCCACTACTCTAATCGCTCATATTGGGATTGAAGCAGATTATTCGTTAACTTTTGTAAATCCTCCCGGAACGCTTACTTGTGAAGAGTAATGACTTCACTTTAGTTGACAGTAAAACTATAATGGAAGTTAATCACTGGACGAGTTAAGAACATTAGCTCTTGCTGACACTAGATTAATTCTAACCTGAAATATCTTGATAAACTTCAGAAAATGAGTGATATTAAATTGAATTTATATAGACAAGTAATTAAGAAATGAAAATTTTAAATAAATCTCTATCTCAATAAACGTTTTTAAATAAATATTACTATTAAGTTTACTTTAATTTATATGATGATATTTTTCAAAACTATTATAACTAGTGGTATTTCCAAGTATATACTTAACATGAGTCCTCCTTACTGCAAAGTGACAAAAAAAAGACGTTGCTTTACAAGTGATCGCCCTTGTAATATATCTTGTTAATCTTAAATTATTGCCCATGTAAAATGCTTTTAGTGCAATGCTCGATAAATCTTCTTTAAAGTGAATTTTATTCCTACTTCTGCACTGAGAAGGTCTTCCTTAATGTGAGTTATTTTTCTAGTTCTATATTAACAAAATCTTCCTTAAGATACGGACTGCTATTATCTTCTCCAATTTATTTTAAATCTACCTAAATAAATATTTTGTAGGCGGATGGTAGGAAACTTTCCAAAGACCGCAGTACTCAGCGCTATGGAAACCTAACAATACGGACTCTGCGGAAGGAAGATTATGGTTGTTACGAATGCGTTCTTCAAAATGATGTCGCTACACTTGTCACAAGCACTCTACTTATTGTTGAAGGTAAATCCTGAGCTTTGACATTTTTCTCCTAGATGTCGCTACACTTGTCACATGCACTCTACTTATTGTTGAAGGTAAATCCTGACATTTTTCTCCTATCGGGTATACCTGACACTCAAGCTCGCCAATTCAGACAGATTCGAACATTTCAAAGCACATAATTTAACATATACAGGATTTCCTCTCCTGTAAACTCAAGATTACAGCAGTGAGGTTACTGCTCAATTTCTTTTATTCCTTCTTTCATTGCATAGAAGACAATATTGAAACAAAAACATTTACACTACTATAATTATGAATTAAAATAGCTTCATGGTTCTTATACCTTCACATCATTTATTTATTTACCAGATTTAGTTGTCTTTTAACCCAATATTTCATTTTTTACAGGAACTACCCCGCACGCCCCCACCAATGTCTCCATCAAAACTAGCGCTTTTTCGGCGACATTGAACTGGCTTCCTGCATATGATGGAAATTACCCACAGTCGTACGTAATATGGTCAGTAATGTTTAATCCAGGGTACTTATTATAACTTTCTTTATTATCGTGTAACCAGCTCGCACTGGCATATTTATTTCTTCCTGAAGAAAACATAAGGGTGTAATGTTATGTGTTAATAGTTATATAGGCTATAATTCAAACAGAATTCAAAATTATAGAACTTCAAAAATGATGAAAGATACAACAATGACTTTTGATATATGTATGTATTTTGTATACAGATACAATTTTTACAGTTTTTATATCAAAAGAATGTTTGAAGTTATCTTGTCTTAGGCTTCATTTACCATTCGAGTTTTCTTCACCTTTCAAAAACATATGTTGTACTATTGAATACGTTTGAAATCAATCGCTGTACAGTGGCCAGTTGAAAAGTACAACTTTGAACTGTGTTGTAAGTTGTGTAGAATCCAAGTAGTAAAGAACAATGGTATACTAGAAAGGAATTTTTCACTATTTGATTTGTTTTGCGTTTTATTTTTGTCAACCGTATCCTACAAATGTTGAAACCCCACAAAAATCACTAGGAAGCTGCTCTAAATTTTATCCATAAGTCACCCATAATATTTATAAGTTCGCACCCCGTGTGAACATGACGTTTTTATATTCCACATTCAATATATCCCGATTAAATCGAAATGTCATCTATGATTGTCTCAGCATCCTGAACACCATCAGTATGAAAGCCGATTTTGTTATCCAGTGTTCCTTGCGCTATTCCTTTCATATAAACTAGGTTAGTGACTCTAAATGCTTACAATACGCTACTGTTTGTGTCCTAGTGTAGCCTGAGTAGAGATGATCTTCTCCATGCAGAGGTTCAGTTTCACGTATAACGGACACTTTCTATGTACAGAATGACTAGCCTAGTGTAGCCTGAGTCACTCAGACCTAGTCATTCTGTACATAGAAAGTGTCCGTTATACGTGAAACTGAACCTCTGCATGGAGAAGATCATCTCTACTCAGGCTACACTAGGCTAGTCATTCTGTACATAGAAAGTGTCCGTTATACGTGAAACTGAACCTCTGCATGGAGAAGATCATCTCTGCCATCCTGCACATCCTTGGATACATGTTCTTTTATGTATAGATGTGATTGAAAATAGCTTAAACACTCTTATAACTTCACATTCTTTATTTAAGAGATTGATTTGTATTTTGAGTACAAAATCTGTTTAATTCAATGTTTAATTTTTCATAGGAACAATTCCACACGATCCAGCCAATGTTTATATTAAAACCCGTGCTTTTTCGGCAACATTGAGTTAGCTTCTTGCATACCAAGGAAATTATCCACTGTCTTATGTAGTCCGATCAGTATTGTTACATCTAGAGAACTTTGAAAATTTTATTGTAAATTTACCCGTTACAATATTACCAACTTGTACTGGCGCATCTATTTGTTCTGCTTCAGCTAATACATACTCAGTGCCAGTGTACACCAATATTCTTCAGAGAACTGTGGAAAGCCCAAAGCTAAATCATTTACTTCAGTCTTTTTCTATATCAGCATCTTTCTTTGGACTATATAATCTGTTGGTCGATGTTGAATTGTTGGAGCTTGCACTGTGCGACAGCATAATCAGGTTATTTATTTTCTTTAAGAGCAGGCTAATACAAAATGCTAAGAGAACTGTCAATTCTCACAAAACTTTCTATAAGAATCTACAGAGTAAAAAATATCATTTCCACTACTTTCCACTATTTCAAGTAATCATTTATTTCCTTTTTCCAACCAATACTTTTATGAAAAGTTTCAACATTAATATTCCAGGATAGTGGTTCACACCTTTTTTTTGTTTCAAAAATAAAGGTATCTGGATTTTCACATCCACTTTTTGAACGATGTTTAATGTATATCTATATCATGTAATATGGTTGTGTGCAGGTGTTAATGTTTTCAACATTACTGTGGAATATGTGAGGAGTAAATTCTATTCGATCATTTCGTCCATCACGAAGATATGGACCAAAGATTGACACAGTGTACTTCTCAATAGATACCATCATCATTGATTTGATAAGTTTCTATTTTTTTTTGCAAACTGTAACTTTCTCTTTAGAATTCATAATTGACACAAATGCGAGCCATCTAAAATTAGAATTACAAAATTACCCCTTCTGTTGCACGTGAGCTTTTGGCAACAATTTTCTAATTCCCTTTTACCAAAAACTCCCGTGCTACAGAAAGGGTATATCAGTTCTTGGTGGCTGATATATCCTAATTCAAGATATACAGGAATGATATCAATCATCGAGGCATGACGAACAAAGTGTGTCTTTTTTTTCTTAACAGCAAAAGTTTTTTTTCCAAACCCAGAAGTGTATACCAAAATTTGTTGGACATTGCCGTACAGAGTTTGACTAGAAGAAACCTAATACACGCTCGTAAAGTTATTCCACGAGTATTTCTATAAGACAAAACCCTTGGAAACCAATCATGAAACCAAGACTTAGTCAGTCCGCTTAGACTAGAGTATTCACCATCAGTTAACTTGTGCAACTTATAAAAGTCTAATCCATGAGTATTCATCATCAGTTAACTTGTGCAACTTATAAAGTCTAATCCATGAGTATTCACCATCAGTTAACTTGTGTAACTTATAAAGTGTAATCCATGAGTATTCACCATCAGTTAACTTGTGTAACTTATAACAGTCTAATCCATGAGTATTCACCATCAGTTAACTTGTGTAACTTATAACAGTCTAATCCATGAGTATTCACCATCAGTTAACTTGTGTAACTTATAACAGTCTAATCCATGAGTATTCACCATCAGTTGACTTGTGTAACTTATAACCATCTGATTGTTTGCTGATATTCTTGTTCAGTCATATTAATTTGGAGAGAGAATTGGATGATATTTCAATTATACATCTGTCACTAACAATAGTTGAAAACAAATTGCTTTTTGTCCACGATATCTGTAGTACTGCTCAGATGAAACTGACTGCAGAAAACACATAAAGGATCTAAGATAAACCACGTTACAAAGAATATATAAAGATACCGAAATCGACAGACAGGTTGAAAAGGCTAACAACAGTCAGCAGAAAAACATCTTAAAACAGAGTAATAGTAAAGTTTCAAATACAATTTATCTTGCCTATCACTTTAAACTCAGAAATGTTTCACGAATTCTGAAAAAAGAAACATTTTCATCTCCTACACCTTAACGATCGCCTTAAACAAATATTTCCTGAAGTTCCCGTTGTCTCCTTTCTAAAAAGCAGAACTCTAAAAGATATCTTTCTTCACACAAAAGTGAATTACATCCAACCATTAAATGGTTGATATCTATGCAATAAAGCTCGTTGTCAAACCTACAACTTCATCAAAATTACTGACTCATTTTCTGACAAGCACAACCAAAAAAAAACTTTAATATATTTAAAAAAATCACTTGCGGAACACAAAACACCATTTACCTTAAACAATGAAAAAATACAATAATCAGTATATAGGACATACACAAACAGCTCTTAGAAAAGGTTTCAACTTACATAAATTTTCTATTAACAACACAAAATAACTCCTTGTTGCTCAACACTTTAACCAACCCAGTCATTACATTAACGACGATGTTACTCTCATCGACATTGAAACGTAATTCAAAACTAAAGCTGATAGAATAACCCAAGAGTTGGTGGTGGGTGGTGATGACAAGCTGACTTCCATCTAGTCTTTCACTGCTAAATTAGGGACGGTTAGCGCAGATAGCCGTCGTGTAGCTTTGCACGAAATTCATAACAAAGAAAGCAAATTGTACCGGAAATGAAACACACTTACAAGAGTACATGAAAACATATATTAAACATTTCTTGGAAAACCAGATGACTTCCATGACATAAGGTCCACCTTTCGAAAGCGCTAGAGTTATAGTGATTTTATCATTTTGAATGAAGACTTATTGAACCTATGAGTTTTTCTGATAATCATGAATGTAGTACCGTACTGTTACTGATTCATTTTTTCAAGTATCACAAGATAGCAGCGGCCATACTTAGTTTTTGTGGGTATAAATTACGTAACTTACTAACTGTATTTATCATACATGCACATATACAAATGAAACACTTCAATACAGGAAAAATTTAAAGATGGTCAGAAATGATTTCAAATGAATTTCAATACTAAATAAGTTACTCTTTACTTCTTTGTAATATACAGAATATATTTCATCGTAAAACAATTGTAATTAAATTCTAATTACATTACTAGCAAACTTAAATACATTTTGATAATCTTAAACTTAAAAGGAAAAATAACAATCAATTAGTCGTATACAGTAAACATCAAATCATCACAAAATATTTAAAAAGTAACTGAAATGGAGCAGAGAGTAAAGCCCACAAAAAACTGGCTACAGAATCCAGGACAGAACATGTTCATAGAATGATTGGTAGAACAACAATTCAGTTGTTGACATCACAGTCTTTCTGAAAATGTTGCTGTTCTCAGTTTACCACTGTTCGTTAGCAGACGTTTTAAAGCTAATTGGATTAGGGCTTGGTGGACCACCTATAGCTCGTGAGCCCCTGTGCACTGCATAGCTTGCACACCCTATATGGTCGCCACGGTCACAAGAATAAGTTGAGTACATTGCATACATATAACACACTGGAAACTTTGTCATATATAACAGATGTTTGTGATTCTTTTTCAAGTAGTGCAACGACAAGCTGGGAACGTTTCGCAAACATAACATATTTGTCATGTAAAACACATACTTGTGTTAATTCTTCAAGTGGCAACCTGAATACGTATCGGATACTTAATACATCGTGCATACCTAGGTTTATTCTTCCTAAATGCTACAACAACAATCTGAGTACGTTTCTGACACATAACACATTTGTCATTTATTACAGATACTAGGGCACGTTCTTCCAGTTGTATAACAAGAAGTTGAGTATGTTTCAGACATAATACGTTTGTCGCCCATAGGGACTTTATACACATGGAAATATATAAATTATGTTCTACAGATAT